TGGCAACTTCAGGTTAATCATGCCTAAATTTGATACTTGCATAAAGCAAGTACCAAATTTTGGTGTGATTATTTATAGCAGATTAATAAAGAGCCTTCAGTGCTAGGTCTGCCCAGACACTAGGGGGCCAGCCGGAGCCCAGCCCCAGGGCTCCTGGCTGGCCACCTCACCTGCTCCGGGGCTGGGCTGCTTTCTGGCAGCCCCTAGCTGCAGGCTATAAAAGCCTCCAGCCATTTTGTGCCTTCAGGCACACACACCAGGAGCCTGGACAAATCTGTTGCTGTGCACAGGAGTCCACCAGGCCCCATGTGCTCCCCTGGACAGGACCCAGAGAGCCTCTGCCCATCCTGTCCCCTTAGCTGGAGCTGCTTCTTGGCCACAGATGAGTGTTGCAAAGGGCTGAAATTTGCTACATCCTTTGCCTAGCCCTGAGATTCCTCCCAGGGCTGCTGGCCCTGCTCTCTATGGCACCAGGGCCAGCACCTGCTCAGCCCTAGCTCTATCTCTTTTCAGGCACTGTGGTGAAGCGCCTCTGCCATGCAACTTCCCTCCCTTCCCATGCCCCAATCCTGGGTGCTGCTGGCAGGCCTCCAGGGCTGGCATTGCAGGGACAGCCAGGTGGAGGCCCAGACAGCTGGTGCAGGGAGCATGTCCAGCACATCCTCCCTGTTGAGCCCAGCCCTGCCTGCATACTTATACCCATTCCAAGCACCTGGGGCCCCAACTGGACCCAAGAGGAGGTGTGCAACTTTGTCATGCTCTGGGGCCAGCCCAACATCCAGAGGCAGTTCGTGCAGGGTGGGCACTTGAATACCCATATTTATGAAGCCATTTCAGCCAGGATGCATGCACGAGACTACACCTGGATGGTGTGGCAGTGCCACATGAAGGCCAAGGTTTTGTGGCCATGGTTGGTGGCTGTGACTGACTTCAGATATTGGTCTGGTCATACCTAGAAGACCATGCCCTTCATGTGCCAGCTGACCCACATTTTGGCACCCTGGGAGCCAGGCTACACCCCTGTGAGTGCCACCAGCAAGGGTGGCCTGTCCTTACCTGTACCCTGCCCTGATGCCTCTGGTGACACATCACAGGAAGAAGGGATCTCAGGCCTTCAGCACCCCACCCCACCCACCTTCCCAGCTGCTGCATCAAGGAACCCTGCCCAGTGGCTGCCTCACCCTCAGCCCATCCCCACACCCCACCACCAGAAGCAGCCACCCATGCCACTGCCAGCTGCCAGCTGCATCAGCTCCCACCTGGGGGGCAGGGGGACCCTGACCAGGTACCAGCCTGCCACTCACCACAGGCCATGGACACCAGGCACAGGTGGACACCATCGCTGATGGGGAGCCCCAGCGGCAGTGTCACCAGCCCCAGACACATGGTAAGTCCTGCATGGGTGACCCAGTCCTCAGCCTTGCCCTGGGCCTCTGCCCCCACTTCATACCTGGCCTGGCTGCACTCCCCTGGGCCCATGTTCACCCCATCACAGCACACATAGACCCAGGACACAGTTCAGAAATGTATTTAGCAGCCCATGTCCCTGAAGCTGAGCAGGCACAGGCCTCTCACATGCCAAGGAAGGCATCAATGCCAGCGGGGATGTCCTCCTCAGGAGCAGGGCGCAGGGATGTGTAGCACTGTGACAGTTAACCCTCCAAGTGGTAGTGGAGGATGCAGAACAGCCTGGACTTCTCCCTGTGCTGGAGTCTGGAGCTGCAGCAGCAGGTGCTACTGGGAACCTGGCCTGGCCCACCCTGGGAAGCGGGTAGGGGAGACAGGCTGTCGGCAGCCAGCACTCAGCAGCCTGCTGGCCTGAGGATAGCAACCAGGGCTAGGGGGCATGCAAGCAGTGCAGCAGCAGGTGCAGGAGGTATGGGAGCTAGCCTGGTAGTATGAGGACATCGCCCAGAAGACCACCTAGGAGGAAGCACAGGACTGGGCGAAGCAGGCGCTGGGCCCAGCTGGAGGCCCTGGAGCAGTGCTGTGTGGAGCAGCCAGGGCCCCTGGGTCCCACCCACCACTGCACAGCAGGCCCCCACGTGGGCCCCAAAGGAGGGCCTCCACCGCATCCCACCCATAGGAGCCCCTGGCATTTGCTGTGACCCACAGACTTGCAGGGGAACTGTCCCTGGCCAGGGTGCTGGCCACTGCCACCAGACTGTACACCTTGGGTGCCCCCACTCCACAGCCCCCCACCCCCTCCAGGATTCAGACAAAGACTGAGACTGCCATATGTAGTTTTCAGTTTGTGAGGAGGGTTTTTTATTGTTGGTGGGTGGGAAGGGTGGTGGAGGGGCTCTGTGTATTGCGGAGGGAGGGCGCTCTGTTGGTTGAGGGGAGAAGTGAGAGGAAGGGGGTGGGGAGGTGCAGGGAATAAAGGTTTTAATTATAAGGATGTGCATTTCCTGGAATGGTACTGGGGGGGTGAGCAAAGGGGAGCAGGGGTGTGGGCAGCAGGGCAGGTGGGTGTTGGCAGGGATGGCTGGGCACTTCTCTATTTTCTGGCACTCCAGGTGGGATCAGAGCTGGGACAGCAGGTCTTTAAAGGTGACCTGGGTCATCTGGAATATGTCATCCCACTGGTTGTTGTCCCATTCCTGCAGCACAATGCACTGCCACCAGTGCTGGCTGGCACAGTGGGTCCAGAGGTGGTGGGGCTGGTGGAACAGGAGGGCAATGGTGGTTCCAGCAGTGGTGCCCTGGAGCCCATGGTTGCTGGGGCTGGTGGGAGCAGCTCCGTGGCAGCAGGGGCCCTGGAAGGCCATGTACCACCCATCCAGCAGGTGGGTGAGGGAGTCAGGCAGTGGTAGGTGGCCAAGCAGCAGAAATGCAGAACAGCAGTGAGTGAGCAGGACAGCTGTGGCAGCCCTGAGGAGTGGGGGACCCTGTCCTAGGCCACCAGGGCCAGGAGCTGGGACAGGCAGGGCTGGGAAATGCAGCTGCAGCAAGAGCAGGGCAGACATGTGCTGCCTGTGTCTCTGCCACGCTGCTGCTCTGACATAGGAAGTGTCGTCTGAGAAGTTACAGTGCAGAGGGTGTACTTTTAAGATGGCTGCCAAGTGCTGGCAGCTGGCTCTGGCTTCAACATGGCTGCCAAATGCTGGCAGCTATGTGTCCAGAAGCTAGAGCTCCCCCCAGTGGCCACAGGGGTATATGGCAGGGCTGCACTGACCTGGGACTATAGCCCCAAGTCCCACCACATGTAGACATCTGCCAAAAAACACTTTATGTGCATTAGTTTAATGCACATTAAAGTTAAGCCTGCTTAAATTCATGTGTAGACACTCCCACTCTGTCTTTATGGAAGATTGTCTCCATATCCCTATTCACTGTCATCATCATGCATCTTTTCTGTTTCTGCCACATCTTTTTTTGAGATGGGTGACCCAGATTGTAACACAGTGTCTCAAATAAAGTCATTCCATTCATAGATTAACATTACTTCTATATCATACTCCATCCCATTCTTGATGTTTCTTAATATTTAGTTTTCTCTTAAAATTTTACATTTTTTAAGGCTGCTGCATATTTAGCAGATGCCCTCACTGAGCTGTCCATATTTATGTTAGATCTCTTTCCTGAGCTGATGTAGTTAATTTAGAACCCAATAAAAGTTTTAAGTAGTTCAAATAATATCTTCCAAAATGCACTATTTATCCTTTTTCAATATTGAATTTAATTTGCTGCTAAGTTGCCATTATCCTCACACAGTTATGTCCATTTGAATTTCCTAACCATCATTCCTCCTCTTGAATAAGTGAAAGAACTTTTTATCCTCTGCAAATTTGCCACCCAAAGCTTACTGTTTTTTAGAGAATTAAAAAAACATGTTAAACACCACTGATGCTTATGCAGGACCAGGTAGCACCTACCTTTTTTAATATAGGTGCATTCTTTGAGACCTTCTAGGTTTTTATTACAGTGTCTCATTTTAATTAGATTGTATGTATTTTCTAGCAATTAAGCCACTTCATTTTCAGGTTTCTTTAGAACACCTTTATATAGCATCTAGGTCTCATGATATTTTACTTTTTAAATTATCAGTTTGTTCCAGCATCTGTTCTTTGAATCTTCCAATTCTTATAGTATTTTTGTACTTTTTTACCAGAAATGATTAAGCTAAAAATTGGCATTGCCTTCACATGTTTTATGATGAAAACGTATGCAAAAAAGTCATTCTTCTTCTAACCTATGTCCTTATTTTATTTAACTGATCCCCTATTTACTATTAAATTGAACTCATGATTTGGAGATCAGTGGATTCTCTTAGAAGCATCCTGTACTGATATATTTAAAAATGGGTCTTTATGTTCACCCTTAATTTTTTTATAGCTTCACATTCCATCCTTACCATTTTAGACTTCTTTACATATTTGCCTGCTGTAGATGTGCTCCTTTTTGTTGGCTATAATTGGGCTTCCATTTTCCTAATATCTTTTGCTTGAATACCCTCCTAAACTCTACTCATTAATCTATACTTCTTTGTAAGTTATTTTATAATCTGTTTTTTTCTTCTTCATTATTTATTTATTTAGGCCAGACAAAATCAACTATTTTCTTAAGTATGAAAGATTCTGATTTCTATAATTTTGACTGTGGTGGGGTGGGGGAAAGGAGTGGTGACTAGCTTTTTTTTTGGTTTAGTTTAGTCTCACTATTCTGGTTTTACAATCCTTCCTTACTTAAGACTATTTCATGACTTAACAGAAATTGTAATAATACATAATATTTATATAGTGCTTCATGTTTTCAAAAAGCTATGAAAACTGTGACTAATAAATACCCTAAGAGACAGACAAGTAGGTAACATTATCTCCATTTTACAGTTTAGGAAACTGAAGCAGAAAAGTGAAGTGACTGGCCCAAGAATGTGTTCTGAGTCACTCTGTGGGCTGGATCCTTGTGGCTGAAAAAAGGAAAAAAATATAAAATAACATATGAAAAATTGCTATTTGAAAAATTAAAGCCTTTTTCCCTTTTCTTTTCTTTATTAGGGAAACTACAACAAGGCCTGTGAATATTTCAGTCAGGCTTTTGAGGCAGCAAACACTCTAAGTAACTTGCCCTTGGTGGATGAAACAAAGGTTTATTATGGCATTGCAAAAGCTCATAACATGATGGTGGCAGTTAACAGCTATACAGAAACTGCAGATCCCGTCAGCGTTGAGTACCTGCTGGCATGGAAGGAGAACAGAAGTGACATGTGCACTGACCCTTTTACAGTCGGTAAGACATTGGTTATGAAACGCATTAGTGCTGCATTGTCTTTAATGGTTAAGTCATTTTTCTTGTAGAGTTTTATTAAATTATTTGCTGAGTTTAATCCTATTGGATTACCCTTGTATTGGATGGAGGTTAGATTCACTTCTGTGTGCACTTATTTTAAAGATCAAATTAAATAGGCTTAAATACAATATAGAAAAGAAAACAGATAGCAGTAATCTATTTTAGATGCCAACTCTAACATTCTCAATGCTCAGTTCTCAGATCATCACAATTAGAGGCAAACAAGTGATGAATCAGTTTAATCAAATGATGACCAAATGAACTTTCAAATCAATCTTCGCTTTTAGTCTGTTCTAATAGGACCAGGATAAAAATAAATTCTCTGTTGTTAATAAGAAGAAATATTTTCCCATTTTTCCCAAATGCTGAGTATGTTCCCTGCACATTCAAGCATATTTTTGATGTCTCTTGTCCACGAGAATTATACTTTTTAGCCAAAGAAACATAAAAAAAGAGTTTTCCCTTATTTCCTTTGTGTAATTTCTTGTATCAAATAGCAGAAATGTGGGTGAAGGAAGATGGACCTTTCCTTCCTTAATTAATTTTCTTTGGTTTTACTTTCTCTTTGGTTTTTATTTTTCCTAATAAAAAGATTTTTTTAAAAACCTCAATTCAGCATTATCTACCTTTTAAGCACTGGTGCTATTTTACTGTCTTGTACTGAGGATATTCCTGTTCTCATTAAAGAATATAATTTATAGACCCTTATACTTGGAAAATAACCTGGGAAGAAGTGACTGTTAGAGCAGTTTATATTGGTGCAGTAGATGTTTGGCTCTGCAAAGGTATTATTTGTAAAAGACTGTGCCCAAATTAAATCAGTTTCTCTTTTAAAGGCATTTTGCCCATATTTTCCACGTGTGTTTACCTTTTCTGTTTCATGGAATTAGAAAATTTATATGTAGCTTCAGTTGTAATTTTCATGTAAAAATACTTGATTAATAGTTTTATTGCTGAAGATTTTGACAGCTGAGTCAGAAATAGCTGAGGTTTTTTTTACTGAGACAGTATAAAATTTCAAGTCAAAACTGTGGGGCAAGCATGTTTACTACATTTCTGCTCAAATGGCCAGAATTTTTAAAAAGTTAACAAACTTCGATGAGGTTTCAGAGATATACATTTGATGAAGGTGAACATGGCAGTTTGTCTGTATATATTTCATTTTTAAAGCACACGCGTCCAGTGCACTCATGTTCAGAATTGCTCAGCCAGCAATACTTATAGGGGCCACATATGCCCCTTGAGTTTCTTCATGCATCTGATCAAGGACCTAAAGGGTATGGTAGTGCCATGTTCTCCTTGGTTGTTCTCTCCGCCTGTGGCTAAACATCAGAACTTGCAGTACCCCACCCACTTCCCTAACTGTGCTGTTTACCCATTGTTTTATAAACTGATAGGTATTTATCAGTCAGGGTTTAGTGTTAGTTAGCTTTAGTTGTGCTTTTCATAGCATTTCCTTTCTTCTACCTACAATGATAATCTCTGAAAACTTGTCTCCAGGCTTTAGAAATTACTGCTCCTGCCAGGAAGCAATGTCTCTTCAAGCCTGTTATACTAGTTCTCATCTGTATGTAGAAGAGGAGCATATAGAGAGAGATGTGCAGTCTGTAAATCATTTTCCAAGAGAATGAAAGAAATAAGGAATTAAAATATTCCTGATGGAAAAATCATGTTGTCACTCTTCAGAACCTGGAATGTATAGGACAGAAACTTCTGAGCAGGCATCATCTAAAATGCTTCTCATAGCTCCTCTGTCCATGGATCCCTGGGAACAGATATTTCCATCTTGTCTAGTAAAAACTCAGAGGATGGTAGTTCTCCTTCTCTGTTCTGTCTGGTATCAAATTTAGGCATGAGTAGTTAAAGCACAGTAATGCACATGTAGACACAACCCAGCATTAACTTTAGTGCCGGGTCTGCCCAGCCACTAGGGGCACATGGCAGGGCTGCAGGGACTTGGCACTACTTTAGTGCCAAGTCCCAGCATGTGTAGACACCAGCCAAAAATTGCTTAATGGGCATTAGCTTAATTCACATTAAATTTAATTGCCCTTAAATGCACATGTAGATGGTGTTCAAGATTTGGGCACACTATATGACATAATAATGCTTTCTATTTTAGTTTCAATTCCTTTCCTAAAGATTTCTGACAATTACAATGCTGCACATTGGGTACACCTACACGAGACACATCAATGTGCATTAGTCTAGTTTACTGTGCAGTTCAGGTATACATCTACATGTACACATCCTTACTGTGCAGTAAACTAGCCTAATCATGACTAAATTTGATAACTGCAAATGGAGATATCAAAATTAGTCATGATTAGTTAAAGCACATGTCGCAGTGCACGTGGGTGCCCTGCATCTAAAAGCAGAAATGGCAGGAGAGACTCCGAGTGCTAAGAAGGGGGAGGCTCAACTGCCAGTCACCAGGGCAGCACAGGTGCTGGTTGCCAGGGAAACCAAGGGGGTCAGCTGACAGGGAGGGGCAGGGCTTGGCCCCTTCTTAAGCCCAAGCATAAGGCCAGGAGGGCAGTTCTCCTCCGGCGGCCGAAGGAGGAGGAACTCAGCCAGAGCAAAGGGGAGAACTCTGATGGTTGGAACATCCCCTGGTTCCTGCTGGGGGATTGATGCTCTCTCTGTCTCTCTCTGGTAGGGAGGATTTCGTATTTTTTACCAGAACGGTCTAGCTTTTATGTTATAGCCCGGAGGCTTTGTGTTTGTGTTTACTGTTTCACCGGAGGACCGGGTGAGGCTATTAGGGGTGGAGGAGGCCTCATAGGAGCTCCATGATAGCGTGGGGTCTCCTGGCGCCGGAGAGGGCGCAGCTTTGTTTGGGGGCACATTGGCCCAGCCCCAGAGTTAGGGGGCAGCAAAGAGCCCCAACAAAAGGGGGGCAGCAGGGAGCCCCGGAGCGAGAGGGGGGCAGCAGGGAGCCCCGGAGGAAGAGGGGGCAGTGAGGAGTCCCGGAGCAAGTGGGGGGAAGGGAGAAGCCCCGGAGTGAGAGGGACAGTGGGGAGCCCCATAAGTAAAGAGGAGGGCCAAGGTGTAGGGCAAAACCATGTCAAGTACCATCTGCGAGGCTTGGGCTGCAGTATAGGGGAGGAAAAAGGAGCTGCAGGTAGCACCCCCTGACACTGGGCAGATAAAGTGGGCAGCCTCCTGCTAATTACATCACTCAATCAATTAAGATCAAGGTGTGGCAGGTGAGTAAGCAGGCGGTTAGCCCAAGACAGGAAGGCGGAGCCACCAACAGAAAGGCTCCAGCGCGTCAGTCCTGTTACAGCACAGTAACGCATGTGTAGATGTGAACCGCCACTAAGTTTAGTGCCAGGTCTGCCCTGCTACTAGGAAGCCAGCTTGCTGGGAGCCTCTCCTGTCACAAGTCTGGGCTGCCTTTGTGGTATTTGTGCTATTTTGTATCCTAGGGCACGCAACACAGGAGCCTGTATAAACCTACTGCCTGCACAGGAGCACTGCAGGCCCTGTGTGCCCTCTAGGACAGGACATGGGCAGCCTTTGCCTGTGTTGTATCCTAGCCAAAGATACAACATAGGTGAGTGTTATAAAGGGCTGTAGCCTGCTGTACCCCCTGCCCAGCTCTAAGATCTCCCCAAGTCTTCTGGCTGGCTGTCTCTGGCACCAGAGCCAGCACCTACTCCCTGCTACTGCTCACCCCCAGCAGTGTCTCCTGTGCTTGCAGGTGCTGTGGCACATTGCCTCTGCTGTGCAGCTCCCAGTCCCTGACCATGCCCCTGTACTGAGCACTGCTGGCCTCTGTCCAGGGCTGGCCACACAGAGACAGCTGCATGGGGGCCCAGAGAGCTGGCCTGGGATGCACCACCAACATGTCCTCCCCACATTTCCCATCCAGGCCCAGCCCCACCGACTTGCACATGACTGAGCCTTCCCACCCAGGGTCCCAGCTGGAGTTAGGAGGATATTGGAGACCTCATGGCACTCTGGGGTGATGCGGAGGTGCAGAGGCAGTGTGTGTGGGGCAGGCATACAGGAGCAAGGGCACTCCCAGTTGGTGCAGGAGTGCCACATAAAGATCAAGACCTTGTGGGCACAGTGGGTGGTCATGACTGGCCACAGTCATTGGTCCAGTCATGCCTGTAAGCCCATGCTCTTATGCAGGAGTTGACCAGGATGTTGGCACCCTGGGACCCAAACTACAACCCTGCAGTTTACACCAAGGCTGGGCATTCAGCACCCCACTCTGCCCACCTCCCCGGCTGCTGCATCCACTAGCAGCTTGGGGAGCCCTGGCCAACAGCTTCCTTGACAGCTCCACAGCCCCAGACCCTGCCGAGAGGAGTAGCCAGCCATGACACCACCATCTGCCAGCAGCACCAGCTCCTTCCTGGGGGGTGGGGCCCTGGCTGGTGTACCATGTACCATGGGCCAAGGACACTGGGCACAGCTGGACACCATCGCTGAAGCCACCAGCCTCACCAGCCCCAGCCACATGGTAAGTCCTACACTGGAGGGAGGGCCCTCCCAGCCCCAGCTCCACCCCGTTCCTTGGCCCTGGCCCCTGCCCCACCCTGCCCACCCAACCTGCCTGCACTCCCCTGTCCCCATGTTTCCCCCCCACAGCATGCAGAGAGGCAGGACACAGTTCAAATCTTTATTGAGAAGCCCTTGTCCACACAGTTTCCTCATACCTGAAGGAAGATGTCAATGCTGGCAGCAATATCTTCCTCAGCAGCAGGGGGAATGATGTATAGCACTGCCATAGGTAGTCCTTGAGGCAGAGATGGAGATTTTGGGGCAGCCCAGGCTTGCCCCCCCACACTTTGGTAGCTTAGAGTCCCAAACCAGGAGCACAGGTGTACCCGGAGCACCAGCAGGATCAGCAGCAGCAGGGTGTAGTGAGTTGTGTACCCCTCACCCTGCACAAACAGCTCATCATACACTGCCTGGGGCACATC